TACTCGAGCAGCGTTGTCCATGGAACCCAGATGTGGACGAGAGCCTGGCTGGTGGGTCTGCAACGAATGGGTTTTTGCGCGATAGTGCGGAGCTTTTCGACTCCCGTGGCTTCAGGGTAGTGCATACGGTGGACTGCGGCGACTCTGCATCTCTGTCCCATGCATACCTGGCCGTCCGATCTTACGACCAAAGCGAACCGACCACCTTACCTCTCGATGTTGTACACTTGAACGACCCTGGGCAGGTCTGCGACGCGATTACGAAAGACCTTTCAGATCGTAGTTGGGACGTCAAGCACGTTCGCCTTGAAGATCTCGATGAACGTCTTCGCAAAGACGCGACCGTCTTAGTAATCTCAGAGCTTGAGACGCCGCAGCTGCCGACTCTGTCGCCTGCGCAATGGGTCGCTGTCCAGCAACTCCTGCAGATGAGGAACAAGATTCTTTGGGTCAGCAAGTCGGCACAGTGGAAAGTCACGAACCCTGATGGCGCTATGATTCACGGCCTGTGCAGGAGTGTTCGCACCGAAGACCCGTCCATGAAGCTTACAACTCTCGATATCGAAGACGCGACCAACGAACACGCAGTGCCGTCCATTGACCTACTACTGAGGGAAGTGAAGAAAACGTCGTCTATCAAAGGCTTTGAAGGCGAGTACGTGGAACGCGATGGCGTTCTTCACGTCAGCCGCATCCTTGGCGATGATGACATCAATGCAGCCGAGCAGGCGAAGACGTCTGGCGCCCTTCCCGTTGATCTGCGACTTCACGAAGCTCCAACAACGGTCCGTTTGATCGCCGAGCGCGTGGGACAGATAGATTCGCTCCACTACGTTGAGGTTGACTCGGAGGAGCTGCCCTTGGCCAACAACAAGGTCGAAGTAGAGCTCTTCGCCTCCGCGCTCAACTTCAAAGATGTCGCCGTCACCATGGGCATTGTCCCGGAGAACAACCATCTGCTGGGCCTCGAGGGCGCAGGAGTGATTCGGCGTGTTGGTGCGAAGCTCAACACACCCTTCCATGTTGGTCAGCGCGTGCTGGTGTTTGAGAAGGGCACATTCGCGAATCGTATCATCGCCACTACTGAGCGTACGATTGCCATACCTGAGTGGCTCTCGTACGAAGACGCTGCGACACTGCCGTCTGTGTACTTGACGGCACTGTACAGTCTATTCGACCTAGCGAATCTCAAGCATGGAGATCGCGTACTGATCCATTCGGCTACGGGAGGCCTGGGTATAGCAGCCATCCAGATATGCCAGGCGGTTGGAGCCACGGTATACGCCACGGTAGGACAAGAAGCCAAGAAACAGTTCCTGCAGGATACCTTTTCGATACCTGAAGAAAACATTTACAACTCCCGAACCATCGACTTCGAAGCCCAGCTCATGGATAGCACCGATGGATATGGAGTCGACATCGTCCTCAACTCGCTCACCGGAGACTTGCTCGACGCATCTTGGCGCTGCATCGCCGAAGGCGGAACCATGGTGGAGTTGGGCAAAAAGGATCACATCGATCGCAATACACTCTCCATGGAGCCCTTCGCCCGGAACGCATCGTATCGCTGCTTCGATATGTCGCATAAGCATGTTTCAGATGAGGTTATTGCAGTGTAAGTACTCACTTTCTGTCGCTGAGACGACGGCCGACTAATCTTCTCCAGACTCATGCGCAAGATGATGCACATGATAGTGACGCGTGGAGTCAAACCAATCTCTCCTATTGAACTCTTCCCATACAATGACATCCCTTCGGCCCTCCGTTTCTTACGAAGCGCCAATCACATTGGCAAGATCATCATCTCAAACAAAGGCCTCGCCGATGCGGATCCCGTTGTGCCAGTGCGTCCTGCTCCGCGGACGCTACAGCTCCGCGGCGATCTATCGTACCTCATTGTAGGTGGACTCAAGGGCCTGTGCGGATCGATGGCAGTCGACATGGCTCGACACGGTGCTCGCAACGTCGTCATCATTGGCAGGAGTGGCTACGATGATTCCAGGTCTCAAGCAGTGCTGAAAGATCTTGCCGCTGAAGGCTGCCAGGTGGACCTGGTACGCGGGGACGTAGCCAAAGTGGAAGACGTTCGCAACGCATTCAGGAGCGCCACGATGCCTGTCGGAGGAATTGTTCAAGGCGCCATGGTGCTTCGCGACAAGCCCTTCGAGACCATGACACACGAGGAGTACCATGGGGCGATTACATCGAAAGTTGCCGGGACTTGGAACCTGCACAACATCGCCCTGGAAATGAGTCTCAACCTGGAGTTCTTCACGATGTTGTCCTCCATCTCCGGTCTCATCGGACAGCCTGCACAAGCCAACTATGCAGCCGCCAACGTCTTTCTAGACAGCTTTGCGTACTACAGAAGAGGTCTGGGCCTGAAGGGTAACTCGGTTGACCTCGGCGCCATTGAAGACGTGGGATACATGGCCGAGCACTCCAACCTCATCACTGCGCTCGATACTTCAGCGTGGACGCCCATCAACGAGGCGCTCTTCCACAAGATCGTGCGGTTCAGCATCATGCAGCAAGAAGACACTCCAGTCAATCCCTCTTCTTGCGCGCAGCTTATCACGTCCATCGCCGTCCCGCAAGCCCCGTCGTCGCGTTTGTTGACCGATGCGCGCTTTTCATCCCTGCTGTTCGGCAGCTCGGCCGGAAGCAGCACCTCTGAGGCGTCTGGGGCGAACAAGGAAATCCAGGCGCTCTTGATGACTGTGAAGACTGGTGCTGAGATGCATGTCGCGTTGCCGCTGGCTGTCGATGTTGCCAACAAGCAATTCATGTTGACGCTGCGCGTGGACGAGCCTCTTGAGCCCGCAAAGCCATTGTCGGCATATGGATTGGACTCGCTTGCAGCTGTTGAGTTCAGGAACTGGTGTCGCGTTCAGCTTGGCGCCGATTTGACGACTCTAGAAGTCACCAGTGCGCCAAGCTTGTTGAGTTTGGCGGAGAAGATTGTCGCGAAGATTCAGGCAGCCAATGTGGCGAAGTAGAGGGCATATCGGAGGAGGTTGGTTGTCATAGCGCGGTGCTGGGAGAGAGAGGACAATAGAGCTTTATCATTCAACGAATCTCAGGTGTATCTTTGTGCGATGAATCGAGAACTACGGTTGTGTTGCATTGAAGCCGAGGCTCGCACTGGACACGTGACGTCATGGATCGAGCCCCTGATCTTCAACCCAAGTGGGCCTAGTGTCGCATTGGAGGCGGCCCATGCCAAGAACTTCAACACTTCGGCCCTGCTCGCCTTGCGTCTCACGATGACAACCTCAACACCACTCGTTGCATTCGTACTTCTTCTCCGACGTACTCGGATCTTTTGTCGTACACATTTCCAACCTGAGAATTGTTTCACAGCAAGCTGTCACGATCGCAACGTGTTAAAGAACCTCATACTAACCGCTGTCTGCAACTTTCCTCATAACGCGTGAGGTGCAAATGATTAATCTCGATATGCCAACTACAACACTGATTTGCAAGTCTGGTTCCACGTCGCACAGTCTGATATGCCTGTCCTCATATCGCCTAGACACGATCCTCCTTGCGCCAACAAATGTCCCGTCTCACCAAGGGTAGCGGCGGTCAATGGTCTCGTTGAAGAATTGCTCAGAATGGTCCTTCTTGGTGGCATTGTCGACCTAGAGTCCCGTTAACGACGGACAACTTTGGAGAGAACTTGTCAAACTCACAATGTACGCAGTATTCTTGCTGCTGTCCTCGAGGGTGAGGGGTGCCTTCTCCAGACCGAAAGCGCGTGCGCCCATGTTGCCCATGTCTGTTTGGACGAGGCTATTCATACGACACGTCAACTTTGGCATCACACGATAAGCTTGGAGATATCTTACCCAGGATGAATGCACAGCGTGATCAGCCAGTCGTTTTCCATACCCATCTTGCGGACCATGACGTTGGCGAGCGCCTTGGAGCCTGTATAGCTGATGTTGGGATAAGGGAACTCAGGCATGTTGTTGATACTTCCGCCAGCAGCGCTGATGAAGGCGAAGCGGGCCGAGTCTGACTTCTTGAGCAAGGGCAGGGTCGCCTTGTACAGTATCATGACAGAGATGGCATTGACCTGGAGGGCGTTTTCGAACTCCTCGAGTGGCACATCGGCGACGGTGTTGAGCGGTGCAATACCAGCAGCTGAGATGACGACGTCGATTTTGTCGATGCCCTTCACGGCCTCGTATGGGTCTGTCTTGGACGCCGAGTCAATCTTGACGATGAGGACTTTGGTGTTCTCGCCTTTGGAAACACTGAGCAGGGCTTGAGCACCGGCAGGGTCGCGCACGGCAGCAATGAGGGTGTTGTTTGGCTGTGCGACATAATGGTCGAACATGCCGCGGCCGATGCCTGCATATCAAGTCAAATCAGTTTAGCAGTCCCAAGTAGGTCCAAGGCACGTACCGCGGTTAGCTCCGGTGATGAGATACGTCTTTCCAGGCATGTTGTCGGAGGTGCAGCAGGTATGGTGAGAATGGTGTGTAGGTTGCAGTTAGATGCAGTCGGTTATAGCGCGAGCCGGCCAATATCATGGTTCAGCTCCATGGCTGTTACTCCCTGAGTTGAGCAGCCACGTGACACTGCACGGTCACCTGCAGCCTTGTCTAGCAGGAAGGCACCGAACTGCCATTTCTAAGCAGCGTGCACGAGCGTGGCACAGCTGAATGTTTACATTTATGATTATCTTGATGGCTCCTAATTGGCTGTAGCATACCCACCCGCGGCCCGTCACACTAATGCAAGGTCAGCATCCTGTAAGATTGCGGTCCGTGTATTACATTCTTGTGTTCGCGCTCGTCTCATGATGATCCGATTGCAATGACTTTGCGTGGTCATCTTCACCTACTCAGCAACCACCAAACGCAGTGAATCTGCCAGGCATGCTTCAAGTCAGCACTCTGCAGCTTCAGGTGCACGTTCGTACAGCTCGAAAGCTTTGATACAATATGTCTGCGCAAACGGGCTGCGGTTGAGAACCTCAGAATCCTGTCATGAATCAACTCTTCCACAACCTTGTGTCCTCGACCTACGGGCGGATCGGACTTGTGTCTAGCGTGTTCCTCACGCTATACGTACTTTACGTCTCCATCTATCGTCTCTACTTCCATCCTCTGCGGAGCGTTCCAGGTCCTAGGCTTGCTGCGTTGACGCAATGGGTCGAAACGTACTATGAGTGCTTCAAGGCGCCCGGTGGTCAATTCATGTGGGAATACCAGAAATGGCATGAGAAATACGGTATGTCTACATGGTTCAGGAAGCAAATACTGTTTGCTCACCACTTCGTTGCAGGGCCTATCGTGCGTGTTAGTCCAAACGAAGTACACATCCAAGATCCCACTTTCTACGATACCCTCTATGCGCAGTCTCGCCACTCGGACAAGCTGAAGCATCTCGAGCACCGCTTCAACAATGAGATGTCCTCATTTGCTACTGCTGAGCACAGTCTTCATCGTCTGCGCCGTAGCGCGCTCAATCCCTTCTTCTCTAAACGTAAGATAACTCAGTACTCGCCTCACGTCCAGAGTCATATGGATCGTCTCTGCAATCGCATCGATTCCGATTTCGTCGCCAACGGGAAGACGATGAACCTGAATAATATGTGGGGCGCCTTCACTTCGGACATTGTCGTCGGATATTGTCTCGAGAAGCCGTATGACTTCATCCTGAACCCTGACTTTCGCGCCCAATTCTCCGACGCCATGTATGCCACCTTATGTCGAATCATACACGTAGCATGACTAACACGTTTTAGGGTTGATCTTCTCGACCCTGTTCACTTCATCACGCAATTCCCCTGGATGATCAGATCCCTGAAGCTGCTCCCAGACTGGCTCGTCGTGCTCCTGTCGCCTCCAATGCGCTCCGTCATGACCTTCAACAAGGAAATGGAGACGCAAATCCAGCACGCCAAAGCCGTACACGCCTCTGGGGAAAAGACAATGGCCATCCCATCTCTTTTCACGGCCCTGCTCGAGTCCGACCTCCCACCTAGCGAACTCTCTACCAAACGCCTGCAGCACGAAGCCATCTCCGTCATCGGCGCGGGCATCGAAACAACAATGTACACGCTGTCGACATGCTCGTACCACCTACTCGCCAATCCTGTGACGCTGGCCAAGTTGTGCACTGAACTCGATGCAGCGATTCCAGATGCAAATCACATCCCGAATCTCGACGCGTTGATGCAGTTGCCGTACTTGACTGGCGTGGTCAACGAAGCTCTGAGATTCGGCTACGGCACTCCTCAGCGCATCCCTCGCCTCTCGCCAACACCCATGGTCTACCACACCCCCGAAGTAGACTACCAGCTCCCTGTAGGCACTATCGTGAGCATGGACCATTACACCGCCTCTCATGATCCAAGTGTTTTCCCTGATCCGTTCGCGTTCATACCGGAGCGCTGGGCAAACGATGCAAAGGCGCCAGATGGGAAGGCGCTAACAAAGTACCTGATTGCATTTGGACGTGGAACGCGAAGCTGTGTGGGCATGCAGCTCGCATATGCGGATTTGTATATTGGCATTGCGACTTTCTTTCGGCGGTTTGAGTGCGCGCTGTTCGAGACCGGGCGCGACGCTGTTGATCTATACCTTGATAGCTTTGTTCCGCGCGCGAAGCCCGGGACGCAGGGAGTGAGGGTTGTTGTTCAGAGGAAGCGATAGCGTTCTGGTGTTATTTTGCGCCGCGGGGGTAGTTAGACCCGGGACAGGCCCCGGGGGCCGACGATGCCCGGGGCTGTGCGCGCAAGCCGCTAGGCTGCAGCACTTCCACCGCGGTACTTCTTCCACGCGCTGAATGCCACACAGCCCGAATCTCATCTTCCTGTGACAGTAATCTTAACTTTCGCGAACACGACAGTGCTATAGATATTGCTATAGATACCGCTATAATGCCTGCTCCTACGCCACCTCCTCTTCCGCCTGCCCCAAAGCCCGCCTCAAAGGCCATAAACCTGAAAGTATCTGTGCCACCACCTCAACAAAAGCATGGTCGCAGTACGAAAACCTTACAAATAGCACCTGACCAGCCCTTTAGTCCGTGCTACATGTTCCTGTATGGCTCACTCATGGACCCTGAAGTCTTACAAGCGGTCCTGAACCTCCCAGAGCTTCCCACCATACGACCTGCAACGATTTCCGGCTTCAAAGTCAGAATGTGGAGTATATATCCAGCGCTCATACTTGGCAATAGCGATGAGAAAGTTTCAGGCGTGGTGTGGAAAGTAGAGAAGGAAGACCACTTCAAGCGTTTGCAGGAGTACGAGACGAGTGCTTACATCTGGACTTGGTGCGAGGCGACTTTGGATGACGATAAGAAAGTCCGCGAGAAGTGTCGGACATTTTGTTGGGCTGGTGACCCGGATAGTAAAGAGCTGGAAGATGGGAGTTTTGATCTCGCGCGGTACCAGAGGGTACTCAAACCGTCCGTTGTCAAGAAGCGACCTGCAGAGTCATGAACACAGATTGAAAACAGCGCTCAGAGAAGGGATCGCGAACGCATGCGTGATATTTGCACATATGAGAGAGCACCATCAAGGTGTTGTGCAGCCTGGAGACCGACATGCTATTGGTGTTGTCTATATACATCCATCTTATCACATCGTATCATGCAGGCATCGCATAGTCCTTGCACCTCCTCATGTTCGCCATCATCCACCACGTCTACTATATTGGCAAGGTCTGCGTCCGTTTTCGATAACCCGGGGTATTTGCATGCCATTACGCAATCTGGAGAACTGAGCCACCGACCGCATCTACATGAGATGCTTCAAACTGACCTAAAGTCTCACATCCATATCGAGTTAGTATTGTATGTGAATAGGGAGAGGTGTGCCAATGTACCTCTCGGTTCGTGATGGTATGAGGACGCCATGTCTTCGAGCATAATGGTTGTGTGTAGCGACCACGTGTGCGAACGCTGGTGTCGAAGTAAGATGTTCTGGCTTCTTGTCGGTGCGCTTGGAGGAGGTGTGTGTGTCGGAAGGATAGTGCTCGTTGCTTAGACGGATTAGCTGTGTGCTGAGATATTATGAGAGAACATATACATACCAAGGTTCCGCCGAGCTCGGCGCCGCATGTACAATTTGTAGAGAATCCATATAGTTGGTGGACATGTGACGAACAGGGCGATGATAGCAACGATGCTTTGGGTGTCGAGTGCCATCCTCTGGGAACCAAATCTAATAAAAACAGAAACGACAGAACACTGTCTGACGTGTGTACAGATCTCAAATGAGTGAGATTTGCGGCTGCGGCTTGCCCAGGTGATCTTGGGTATATCAGCGAGCTAGGATTGTTATATACCTTTTGTCTGATCAATGATTATAGCCACAGCCAACCAAGCAGCCACCGCATTTCAGCATGGACATACGTAGGAGGCTGCAGTAAACGCGTATGGGCACCGGTGTGCACGCCTCCATCAAACGTCTTGTCGTGCGCATCGTCGCTTGCGATAGCCTGAGATTCCTGGGTCCGCCCGTTGTGGTCACATAAGGAGCGTTGTGCTTGAGAGATTCTGGTTGCGACCAATTGAATAGCCGCGCGATGTGGGGATGTGAACGTCGGGCCCTGAGCCTTCTCGAAAGCCAGATCCCTCCTACATCGACCCCTGCTGGAGGTCCACTGCGCTCCATGCCAGGAGCAACCAGGCATAGCCAATCATCGGGCTATCCGTCGCGTGCACTCAAGCGCAAGACGCACTTCGCAATCAGAGATTTTGGCATCGGCCTATCAGATGAGCCACATCGAGTCGCGTGGCGTCTTAACCTTCGTGGGGCAGTTGCGGCTGTGTACAAGCCAGCGGCGTACTTTTGGCGTGCCATCCAAGATTTCGATATGATCCAATCATCGAGGCGTCAAGATCGCGGAGACAGAAGGTAGGCCTTGCAGCCGGGTTGCGGGCTCGGTTGGTCGATGATTCTGGAGGTGGCCAATGGAGTGTTGCCTGCCTCGCCTCTTTCCCAGGCGCGTGGACGCCATCTCACCTGTAAAATCTACTATTCTGCTCAACATTACAACCAGATATCCGTATGAACATTGTGATATTGTCTGGATTACACCCATACCACCGCGCTGAAGGCCTCGTGAGCCTTCACACTTTCGCCTAAAGGTTGAACCCTTCTCAGCCTTATACCGCTTAGAAACTACGCATCGGCTGAAGACTTAAAATATGCCAAAAAGGAAGGATGAAGATGACGCAGAATGGATGTCGCGAAAGGACGACATTCTTGCTCTTTACGTTGAGCAAGACAAGCCGCTCTCCGAGGTCATGCATGCCATGGCCAGGCAAGGCTTTACACGAACGTGAGCGGTATCCGCTACCAAGCAGTGCTTTTCTAACCAACAAAAGCAGACCGCAGTACGAACGGTCTTTCAAGAGATGGCGTATTTCGAAGAATGTGCGGAAGGAAGAGTGGGATTTCATACTCGGTCGCCTGAACGAAAGGAACCGCCCGACCAATGTCAAAGTGCGCGGTGTAATGATATCGCAGGCAAGAATAGAAAGGCAAAGACTCAGGAAACGCGAGACTACTTTTGATCTTTGCAGGTCACGTAGGTGTAGAGCCGGCGTTATACTTTTGCAGTTACTCACTGATTAACCAGGACTGCACCCTCAGTCTCGTTCCCGAACGCCACCAGATATCGAAATTTCTACACCACCACTAGCTACAACAGATAACCACCCAGGGCTGGGCGAAGACGCAAAGAGCGACGAGCAGCTCAACGACCTATCCCTCGCCCCTGACAGTCCTCGAGAATCAAATCTACAGGCGCGCGGGGACGGCCATGTATCATCGCCAACAGACACTGGTTTCCATGCGGCCACTCCGTTTGACGCGATCGGCCAAGATCCAACTGAAACGCTCTTGGACGCGACACGCATGACTCCCATGTCGTTGTATCCTGTTTCAGGCACGTCATCGCCATCTTGTTCGGATTCATTGTACGAATATATGCGTGCAGCCATTTTCGACGGCGAGAACGAACTCCACAGCCTCATCCCCGAAAGAGAGAGAAACATTCTTCGCAACTTAGACATGAAGTCCAGAGGAACGCTTCTCCATCATGAGTACAACCAGTTCTTCCGATCATTCGTCAAGCACACACTACCTAAGGATGACCTGTACGACGTTGTGAGAGCTTTCGACACTGCCGATGACATGGTGGTTCTCAAACGCTTGCTGTTGATCGCCAACTCAGATGGCAAATGGGCGTGGGGGTCATTTTGCAGGACGCTTCTGTTCTATGCAGCGAATGATGAGAACGAATGTCTAGTGGTGATGCTACTTGATGTCGGAGTAGATGTCAACGCTAGCGCAAGGAGAATTCCACCCCACCAAAACAACCTCAACGCCATACAGATCGCTGTCCATAGCGGCAAAAGAAAAATCATTGAAACCTTGGAGAGCCGCGGTGCTACAATATTCACTGGGGATCGATACGAAGATTTCACCTTCCTCTCGGATGCAAGCACTCGAGGTACTATGGACTTTGCGAAATCATTGCTCACTAAGGCGGCGACTTCGGATGTCAGAACAGCTCGGAATGGGACTAAAGTACTTATCCTCGCTGTGGAACGGTCTCACGATACCATAGTCGACGTTCTACTCGAGACAGGATTCAATCCTTACTCCAACTTCCATGAAGAACCATCTCCTCTCAGAGAGTGCGCTTTCATGGCCGCCTTACGCATGACTAAGACCAAATATCTTGAAAAGTTCCTCGAAATACCTTGCCATCATTTCGACAGCGACCAGCGTCAAGAGCGCCTACGACAGCTGACTGCAGGATACGTCTCCGCTTGCTGTTTCGAAGACTTAGACCTCAAGAATGCGATACTGAACACCGGATGGAATCCAGACGAAGTCAAAGGAGTCATGGGGTACGATTTTGTGCAAGTATACCTCTATGATGCACTGGCAGTAGCTGTTAAACGCGGCGACTGTGACAGAGTTCGGTGTCTCACCCGAATAGGCGCCAGTCCGAACTGTCCACCGGACATGATCCTCGGCTGGAATGTAATGACCCTTCTTCAGTGGGCAATGGAACGGGGAACAATGTTCATGGTGCGCCAACTGATAGCGGCCGGTGCAGACGTCAATCTTCTGAGTTCACGGGTACATGAAAGTCCACTGCAATACGCAGTGTCCACGTGGAATCTTGTGTTAGCCAAGTTGTTAGTTGAAGCCGGAGCGAATGTCAATCTCTGCCCACGCAGATGGAGCCGCAGCGCAATTGAGATCGCTGCTGGGAGTGGCCAAATTGAGATGGTTACTTATCTCGTTGAGTCAGGAGCTGATATCCAGGGACGACACAACAGAAACTACAGGAGGACACTGTATAGGGCGAAGATGGCTGGATATGACTCCGTGGTCAAGTTACTACAACAATGGAAGAAGCCCAAGTTTGGAGAGCAAGATTGCGATACAATCGATAACATCATGGAGACGATGACGCTCGACGAGTTGGAGTTTCCAAGTGAAGAGGCTAGAATCGACTATCTGGAAAGAGGACAATCAGATACAGAATCCACAATGGACTTCACGGATGAAGAATGAATGCAAGCATCGGCATACAACCAATGGAACGAGTCTGCAGTTATTACATTCCGCAAGTCCACCTCTCAATGTACACTACCAAGATGTCTTCTCGGCAGAAGATCGTCCAGGCTCGATTGCGAAAGACAGGAGAAGACCCGAAATTCCAACAAACCCGGACCCCGTACCCCACACAAACGCGACCTCGCTCCTAGCCATCGCAAGCCAACCATCCGCAACATCAACATCAACATCAACACCCTCATCCTCTCTCACACACCCATCTTCCAGGCCTCACACCCTCTCCCACCTCAACTCGTTCACGCGTGAACACCGTCCCCTCAAATCTCCCTCTCCCCCTCCCCTATCACAAACACGTGGCCATCGGCCCTAATAAAGCTTGTTTCACGCCCAGACACACCCTACACGTCGCTGTCCCAAAACGCGGGCAAGGATCTACATGTCACTTCCGTACTAGGATAAGGCTTGCTTTGTCCGCTGTCCGAAACGAGCCACAGACAGATCGACAGGTACGGCGAAAGTCAACCGACGCGTTGAGCACAGGTTGGATGGATGGATGGATGGATGGATGGATTTGCCGTGCTTATTTTACGGTGAAGAGGGAGTGGGAAAAAGATGGGAAAAGTTTTCTTGGTCATCGGGGAGTTTGGTGGTTGATCACTGATTGTGTTGGTGGTTTCGCTGTGACGTCGGTGATTGCGCGGTGGTTGAGTACGGCCCCACACGTTGCAAGTGGAGAAGATTAGTATTGCGATCGTTGGTGTTGTGCTGCCGTGTACCGAATGAGCGGTGATACCTTTTGTGGTCCTTGCATTGGAGTTTCGAGGGGAGAACATGTGTGTACGTCACTAGACAAAGAAGCATGGCGAAAGACAATGTAAATTTGTTTCATGAAGCGCTCAAAGTAACGTCGATAGATACTATCGTAAACTGTGACAAAAAGGCGGTCTCGAAACCATGCCCTCGCATACATACGCCTTGGTAGATGAAATCGCCGCTATGGTATAGTGCCCTAAGAAGTGTAGAGAAAAAAATCCAAAAAGATCATGTTGCGCCTTGTCCTGAGGCTTCATGTCGCCGATGAAATCCTAGTTGATGCTCCTGCTAAACGCCCGTAAATCCCGTGGTGTCTATAACGCCGGGTATCCTGTTAAGATGTGCTCGTCGTGAAATCTAATATGTACATGGAAGGTGACATGCGATGTTGTGCTGAGGGTTTCTCACGTCATCGCTTTTTGAGGCGGGTATGTGATCTCGTCTCGGTCTTTGCCTTCCTTGAGGCAGTTGCCTTGCCTCCCAACTTTTTCTTGCAGGAAATGCAGCCGTTCGGTATCGTCCTCGTCGAACGCGAAGGCGCCGTTCCAGAATCCGCAGTCGATGTTTGTGGTCTCGTTTCGGTATACGACCTGCGCTTGGGCTGCCAGGTCTACTGGCGGCAGGCTATGTTCTTCGCCAAGTTTCTCTCCGATCGAATCAATCTCGCTTTTTCCTGGCATGTGGTGGAATAGCTCGGAGTTCAGTGTCCAGCACCGTAGTCCGGGGCTCGGGTATTTGCTTCGAGTTCGAGGGTTGGCTTTCTGCCACTCTGGTGTGGGAGATGGCGTGTTCTCTCCCTTGTTGCAGGCGTGAAGAAGGGCGACGTCGAATGCGCGGGCTCCTGACTTCTTCAGTTTCGGCGGAGCGAGATCGTTGAGGAGACGTTCGGCGGCGCGGCGTGTGACGGCGTATCCGAAGGAGCAGAGGGGGAACTTGGCGCGGTGCATGACGCGCGTTTTCTCGGGCATGCCCAAAAGGCGGAATAGGTCTTGTGTAAATGGGTGCAGGTTGATCCACGATGGAAGCGTGGGGTCTTGCCATAGGATGTGTGGCATAGCGCTCAGGTTGAAGTTTTGGCGGTCGGTCTTTGGGCCGTCCTCGGTGACAATGTCGAAGTAGTCTCCGCAATGACCGAGATAGAGCAGGTCCCAGGCATCTTGGTCGCCCCAGTACTGTGTATGGTTGCTGGCGGCGTTGACGCCCGGGTGTTGAGCGCGTGGTGGAGGAAGGAGCTGTCGGGCAGCGCTTGCCGCAAGGGGTATCTGGACGCTGCGCAGGCGAATGTCCCAATCGACGTCGTCTTCGAGAATGAGAGCCGTCTCGAGGCCTGAATCTAGGAACCTAAATCATAGCGAATCAGCAGCTGCTCGATGTGGCTGCATGCACGCCAAGACGGGTGGCATGCCGGCGTCGATATAACTTACCAGCGCAGCGCGTTGTGGTGCCCTAACCACGCTAGTATCGATCCCTTCTGCGCCTTTTCCTGACCGTTGATGAAGCGCTGGACGTCGCCTTCTGTCCATTCTGGCTGGGTCGGGATGGTAAGGTCGATGTCGGTGACGTTGGCAGCTTGCAGGAGTGGCTTGCGGCGCGAGGAGCCATCCTTGGACACGACTACGACGGCGCCGAAGCCTAAGGTCTTGTTGGAGGGTATCTTTGCAGGGCGCGACTCAATCGAGGACATCCATTGCAGGTATATGCGGTCAGTGTCTCTGCTGTGGTACCATATTCCGATGAGGACGAGGACTGTGAGCAGCAGCAGCGGCGTGGGCCGCTTCCTGGAGGCAAGCATGTCTAGCTAAGGTAATGGGCCAAAAGTTGTTGCTGTTGAAGGAGAGTTGCTAGACATGTCCGCGAAGTCGAGGAGGTGGGGGCACGCTATCGCAAGAACAAAGTAGGCATTAGGACGTTGTGTGGCAGGACCGAAGCAGATCGCGCTGGGCGAGGGCCATGTCTAAATGTCGCAGGTTGCGGCGGGAGCAATACGGGAGCATGCCGGGGTGTGGCACCGACATTGCGTCTTGTAACCACTGTATCAGGCTACCTTAGATTATCGCGCATGCACCCGGGATTGCCGTTATTTTACGCTCGCCCGGGTGGATATAGCACGCAAGAAGACGCGGCCGTCGCAGGCTGAGTGTGCGACGGCGCAGTTGAAACGGGCGACAGCACCCAGACGCCTCCAAAAGTGGAAGTACTCCAAAATTGAAAGGCGCGTCTGACCTGCCACCTGTCCGGACGTGCTTGCGGCCGACTTTTTGTTTTATGACATGCATACGTACCGTGTCCGCGCTGGCGGTCCCAACAACGGCGTCACGTGGTCGGCGTGCCGAGTCGATGTGAGCTGCGTACTCTGGGACACGCTACCCTCTGCGCTACCCATCATGCGCCTCACTCAACCACCGATTACGACGCCGACGCTTACAACATTGACTACGACAACCATTGATGACTACGACTAGACACGAGTAGACGACGAATTGGACGACGACACCCCGTGACCCTGCGCGACTTGTTTCTGCAGCACTACATTACCTATTCCATCTCTCAAGTCCGCCCTGTCCGCTGCTTGCTAGTTTGTGTCATGCTGTGCGCCGCTGCACCCTGAAACTAGTCGTGCGCCGGCTGCTTGTCCTCCGCAGCCTCCCCTTCTCCAGGCCGCCCGTCCTCGATCTGCGCCTAAACGGGGTGACCCCAGGCACAAACATCCCCTCGCAACCTACCGCACCACATGCCCGCCCACTCAGCCAGCCCATAGACATGGCCACGCTGGGCTCGCCCTCTCCCCCGACTTCCCCCTCGCGAACCATGCGCCGCCGTGGCTGGGCCAGGAAGGTGGAGCGCTACTGCTGCACCGCCGTCACCTACTTCCCGCTGCTCTTCGTCTACGGCCTGACGTCGTGGGCCGTGTGGGTGCAGGCTGGCATCGGCTTTGTCCCCTCGAAGAATGTCTGGACGGGTGCGTCTCCCTCTGTACAATACATCCAATGCATATCTGTCCCACGTCCAATGAGACCACTTTGAACAAATACATGGACGCGACTACTGACACGTCGTATAGGAAAGTTCTCGTCTGCCCTCGGCGTCTTCCTCTATCTCATGCTCAACTGGAGCTACACGACCGCCGTATTCACCGACCCCGGATCGCCGCTCAATATCAAGAATGGCTACAGCCATCTGCCGTCGCAAGAAGGAGGAGAGATGCAGTACACGTCCTTCACTGTCAAGGCATCGACCGGTGAACTGCGCTTCTGCAACAAGTGCCAGTCCAAGAAGCCCGACCGCTCCCACCACTGCTCCACGTGCAAGCGCTGCGTCTTGAAGATGGACCACCACTGCCCGTGGCTCGCCACTTGCGTTGGCTTGCGCAACTACAAAGCCTTCGTCCTCTTCCTGACATATCTCTCCTTCTTCTGCTGGGTGTGTTTTGCGACATCTGCGACCTGGGTCTGGAGTGAAATTCTCAGTGACGGGCAATACACCGAATCGTTCATGCCCGTCAACTACGTTCTGCTCGCTGTGCTGTCCGGTATTATCGGAATTGTCATAACAGGCTTCACTGCCTGGCATCTGTGGCTTACGGTCAGGGGCCAGACTACGATCGAGAGCTTGGAGAAGACGCGCTACCTCTCACCACTCCGAAGCACGATGAAGCACCAACTCAACGACCGAAACTATGTCGAGGCGCAAGCAAACGGTCGCTTGAGCGTTGGCGACCAATTGCGCGAGATCCACGCGAACGCTCTCCCGGGAGTGACCAGACCCGAAGAGGGTGAGCAGCCTTCGCGCTCCGCATCGCGTTCTCCCGTCCCCGGTCACGCGAACGGCTACTCCCACCCGCACTACCAATCCTACGAATACCGAGAACGCCAGCAGAACCAAGACCGCTACGACAGCTACCTCGACGAGCGCGACAACGAGATGCTACCGAACGCATTCGATCTGGGATGGAAGCGCAACATCGGACATGTTTTTGGCCCTTCGCCATTGAAGTGGTTCGTGCCACTGGTAACAACAACTGGAGACGGATGGTCGTGGGAGCCCAGTCCGAAGTGGCTGGCAGCTCGGGAACGGATAAAGCGTGAAAGAGAAAGAGAAGAGCAAATACAAAAGCAGCGTGAGCGCGCTGCCGGTTGGGGTGTGGATACTCCTACGGAAGCAGAGTTTACACGTCCCACTCGCGCTCCGGGTGGATGGATGCCCGGCCAATACAACCAGCCTCCACCGCGAGCCACAAGACGACCAGAGTGGCAAGCACCCACTCGTCAAGGCGAGCCGACCCAATACCTCACCACCTCGAACGGCATAGCCAAAGGCCCAATCGATGGACGAAGAAGTCCGAATAAAGCCGACCAAATACTAGGAAGAGAACGCGGCATGTACGCCGATGGCGACGTACAGCTCCAAAATATCGACAGGAGGAAGTTCGACCAATACAACTACATATCCGAAGACGAAGACGACGATTACGAAGTCTCCAGCGACGAGCAGGCGGTAGACCAACGAAAAGCACGAAAGGCGCAAACCGTATCTGCACCTCCGAAAGGGACGCAAAACTGGAATGATATACCAGATGGATTCTTAGACCCAGCACCAAAAGCGAAGAAAAGCACAAGTCGGGAACGGCGGCGGAAAAACGGCGAATGGGATGATTGGGGGACGTGAAGATATGGCGAATATAATGGATACGATGGCATGTTGGTTATGTTGATATGTACATTTCAATGTTGCATAGCATGGCGTTTGTTGCATAGGAATGGAGTTTACGTCTAGTCATTTGAGGAATGGAGATATACTTATCCATGGCTTTCGGTGTCTGCTGATACGACGCGCTAGGTGCAGATTCTAGCTCTCGTGTACGACAGTATAGTATAGCTCAAGTCCAGGGTTCCGATCCCCAACATCCGCTTCGGTCTCCACCTCCTCTGCCTTGGCGCCAGCCTCTTCTAGCCTCTCTAATCTGGCCTCTTGTTCCTTCATCACCCAAGCCTCCGCCCTCTTCTTCCTAACCTCCTCTTCCCTTTCCCTCATCTTCTTCTTCGCCATCTCCCTCGCCAACACCCAGCTCGCATTCTTCCCCTCAACCCTCGCCATAACCGTCTGCGCCTTTGTCTCTAACAACTCGATTGTCTTCATCATCGCCTCAGGACGCGTACGTCCTTCTTGCGGCGCGGTCTCAAACCTTAGTTCGTTATCGTCGCTGATGCCTAGAATGACGCAGCGGAAGGGCTCGACGGCGTTGCGGGGTTGGTGACGGCCGATGAAAACTTGGTGATCGTCCGGGGTAAAGAAGATGGCGGAGAGCTCTGGGTGGATGTTAGTTCAGGGGAGATCGAACGACAGAGAGGCGTACTTTTTAGGTAGTTGTACGTTGCTTCGTCCGTGGGCGTTATTGCGGATGTGGGAGATGGTTGGGACATTTTTGGTGGTATGTTGGTAGAACGGTCTTGTAGTATAAAAGAAAGAGATCGATTTAATGTGCAAGAATTCGCGGTATATCAGATATCAAGACGGTTCACTGCCATATGTACTTGCTTTGCTTTCATGAGACTGGCTGTAAGCAGCTAGTCAAGTCTCGTTGATTCTGGGAACTGACTAGATAAGCAAACTTGTACTGTAGTACATACTATTGACTATATACACCTCTAAGAACTTGCATGTTGATCTGGTTGAACTCACACACCCGCCCTTTTCCGAAAATCGACATAGATCCCACGAAATCAAGATCAGCGGGCATGCCTATCACAGCCGCAGAGTACAACACTTTCTACTTCATCGCCAAACTCATCCGCCAAGTGTTCCCCGGGCACAGGTTGTATGTCGCCCGTGAAAAAAACCTAGCCGGCAAGGTTATAAGCTACCACGCCGGGGTAGCGAAGTACGAAGGCAAGGTGATGAAGGACATCATCATGGCTAGCGGTAATGCGAAGAAACGCGTCGATGCACTAGACACACTTTTGGGAGATCTGGAGGATTACGTGCACGATAACTTTGAGCAGATCGAGGCGGAACGGCGGGCTAGGGATGCTGAACTTGATGCTGAACTTGATGCCATGGAACCATCCAGTGAAGAGGAAGACGAGGGGGGAAAGAGAAAGGGGAAAGCACCAGGGGGAAGAGGTGCTGATAAAAAGCCCCGGTTAGACACCGACCAGTCTCTAGAGAAGGGGGACGTGGAAATGTCTGATAAACGCAAGTCAAGTGAGGACTCTTCACCAGTTCGGGTGAAGGCAAGAGCGAAGCGAGAGGATAGAGAGTTAAAGGAAGGGACAAGGGGCGGTCAGGGTGATGTGCAGACTTCGTAGTGTGTTACATATGTGACATGTTGTTCTGCTGCAAGTACCTGTGCGGCTATCATGAGACTGGGATTAAGTTGGCTGGGTGATGCTAAGTTTGATCACTGTTCTGGTAGACAAACTTATACCTGCCTTCTACTTATATAACTTCACGCACACGCATGCTGACATTCCAACACTTACGCTATCTAACAACCCGGGACCAGCACCGATGTCCAGTAGCATCACAGACCTCGAGTTCCAGACCTTCTACGTCGTAACCAAGCTTCTCGACGCCGTCTATCCAAATGGCAAATTGTACGTTTCCCACGGCTTGAGCACTGACAGGGATTCCTACCGGTATCGTGCCGCTGTAGTAGAGTCAAAAATAGAGTCTTCGGGTAGTGTCAAGAGACGACTACTCTCGCAGGTCGAAACAGCCAAAACTCGGATTGGTGTTCTAGAAGCCGTGCGGAAGAGGCTTGAGGAAATCGCGTCCTGGAGACTCGACGTGATCATAAGCGACAAGGAAAGAGATGATGTGGAAGAAAACGAACGGAAGAGGAAGAACTTGGTGAGTTGCGAAGCAGCGTATGAAGAAGCTAGGAGGAGAGCGGAGAGCGGAACAGGGCTGGTCTCAGCTGCAGGAGAAGCTTTGACGATGGAAGATATCGCCAGAGAAATTGGGGTAGAGTTTATTCAACAGAAACCTTGGTAGATATGAAGGCATAGAAGAATGGTTAAGCAGTGCATATCATGCTCGATAGATGTGGTGCGTAGTACCTGCCGGTCGAGAAGTCAGGGTCCTCACTAGCGCCGCGCGCTAATCAGATTAAAGGCACAGGTGCACCTGCCCGGATGGGCATCTGCGATGACGACATCTCCATCACTTCTCATCACCAGAAACCCAGTCACCAACGCGCCTGACTACTGACTGATCTCAACTTTGCAGCCATCTTTGATCGAAATGAATAGTGTCGCAACCTGCTTCTCCACACCCACCAGCTCAACGGCTTCTCTGTCGGGAAGCTTGATACTCGCGAAACTTTGGAGAAGTCGTACAACAATGTATCCAGCTTCCGTCAGCGCGAAATCCACTAAATAGACGCACGTTAGATCAGCCGCATTCAGTCGCATAGCCAGCGTCGGAACTTACTGCCTAAACAGGTCCGCGGTCCACCGTGGAAGGGAAGATATCCCCATTTCGCACTCGTTGGATCATGCTGCAGAGGCATGTCTTCGTCCCACCTTTCTGGTCGAAATAACTCTGCATCCAGTCCAAAGAGATCGGGCCGTCGATGCATTGCATACACACTGAAGGCTACCGGGCTTCCGTTAGGTATGAGGACTGGGGAGTTGCCATCCGGGCCGCCGCCTGTGGGAAGCACCGTGGTCCTTGTAGCCATACGAATATTGACAGGAACAGATGGGTATAGTCGCAGAGCTAGTCTCAAGGTAGGCATCATATTCGAGAGAAACTACTGGGATTGTAACGTACTTTCTTTGAGAACGTTTTGCAAATACTGCATCTTTCTCAGGCTATCGCGGTTCAGTTTCGAGTTTGCGTCATAGGTTGATGAGATTTCCTTGCGCAACTTTTTCATCACGTTTGGATGGCGTACGAGTAGAAAGCTGTTCATGTTAGGCCGGGTCCAGTCACACCGGGAAGCGCAACTCACAATGTCCAGGAAAGAAGGCAGGCCGTGGTATCTCTTCCAGCGACCAACAGGTTGATGATCTGACCTCTTAATGCAGCTCGATCTGAGGTACGCTGCTCAACAGCATCCAGAAAGACTTGTTTTCCCTCACCGTCGGTTCTACATCGATTCGGCGGAAGATTCCGGTCGATGATCTTGTCCGCAAATTCACGAACATCTCGGCCAGCTCTTCGGAAGCCTCTACCATCTATCATCCAGTACAGGTCCTGGAATCGATACCTCTCGACGACCCATCTTTGGGCAGAATTAAATGTATTGGCAAAATTCCGCTACCCAACAATCTCAAGGCTCAGAAGACTGCGAGTCGACTCGCCAAACAAGAACGCTGTCGTAGTGTCGAGAGTCAAGCGGAAGAAGAGCGGTTGAAGGTCAACGATCCGGTCACTCCCCCGAATCAACTGGATGAGATCATTGGCCGCGTCTTGAAAGATTTGAAGATCATCGTAGTGCTTGTGCTGTAGTTGCGGTCGCAGCATGTCCCGGGAGTGTTTCCAGTCAGCGCCTTCTTGTGTAAAGACACCGTCACCAAACACCGGATACAGAATAGCTCGTCGAGGCCCAAGACCAAAATCTATCTGCGAGTCAGCCCATCGGAACCTCAGGAACTTCATCGGTCACGATTCCCACCCTGGAAATTGGTCGACAACATAGCCTCCAAATTAGCCGGCTCGATCGTTGCATACGTCGTCATCCCCAGAAGCTTGTAGTTCAGTGTGTTTCCCACTTGCCGAAAGTAGGACATGAACTGTTCCATCATCCGCGATTCAGAATCTGCCCGAAAGATCTGCTCAAGTCGATCAAAACCAAAGGGCCTATGGTTCTTCAGTCTGGGGGCTGGAAGGCATCCGTGGCGGTGGCTAATAACTTGGTCTGCCTTCACGTCTTTAGGTATGTAGGGGTGTGTGGGTGATAGTCTGTACTTACGAGGCGTTTTTGTCGGCAAGAAAGATACTGGATTATGAGCGCGACCACCGACGCAGCTGCTACAGCATATACCACCGGCGTCATCATGTCAATGAGATCGGAGAAGGCACTAGCAAGTTTGAGGAAGAGAGTCGGTGAAGAGCTGAGAAGTGATTGGAAATCAAGATCGGGTGTTTGCATGTGCGCCACAAGGGTGGAGCGCTCCTTATTGGGCGTTTGTGCAACATCAACAGGCTATGACAGAGCAGGCGGTGTATGGGCCGTGCTTTTGACTCTCATCCTCCTGGAACATCCTTTCTGTCGCAAAGTCGTCTTCAAAATCTGCTGGCTTCTACGCCGCTGGAATATCGGAGGTTGTTCTGTGCGTTTGGTTTGCATTGGCCGCCATGTAGAGCAAACCGTCGCAACCAGTCACGTATGTAAGGGTCGTACTTTCCCTTGTTTAAACCAACTCACCAGAACAACAAGCCATTGTTGCGAGATATATGGTGTATTGAATTATCGTGGAAGCGAACTCCACAGTAATGGCCAAACACGTAACCGAAGCCGATCACCGCACTCTTAGCTATGTGAAGATGCTAGCCGATAGCCTCTTCGGCGATGAATTTAAAGCATCTATCGTCGTCTATCCAAGCTACAACGATACCGGTCCTGATGGATATCTAACTAAACTTGCTGCTAGCTCGACCACAGATCCCTCGAGATTATTGCCAGTGTCATTTGGGCCACATAAGGGATCGACGAGGGAAGAAGCATTGCTAGGACTGTTACGCAGCTTGGAGGGGTGGGCAGCGCAGAAGACTCGGGAAAAGAATCGTGTAGACTTTTGGGAGAATGTCTCTAAAAACCTGGCGGCCTGGGACAGGGGAAGAGCAGAGCGCGCTGCTCGAGAGGCGGCGACCGGGGCGCCGAATGGTGAAGCAGATGGATGAGGTGACACAAGAGGCACAGGATAGAGGTAAGAGGTTTGTACGAAGATTGGAGAGAGGAAGAACGGAAGAAGCTTTTGTATTGAGATTGGAAGAGTCTTGCGTCCAAATGTATTAGTGCTTGTCAATAGCGATGTGCACTCTATGCATAACGATATCATCTTTTGACGTAGATACCGCACATCTTAGGCGACGCCAACCAGCTCGGATCATACAAGTGGCGTATCAGTCACTATCTATCTCTCGCACATTCTTATGAGTGTCTCGTATGGAGGATATGCAATCGTATCGAATCGCTTCCGTGGTTCCACAAAGTTTGCTTCTCCAAATGATCCCACCCACCTGTTCACCTTCCCGCCTCACTGTACAACTAGACAAACACCTTGGTACACCACTGATCCTAGTAGATGACGCGGCTTCTTCACCGGTTTCTCGCCATAATAGAACGTCTCTAGATGTTCCCAATGTCTACACTCTTAAGTCGCAGAGATCAGACATGGATTCATTGGCGGCAAGCATGCCTGAGCGCCTCGGCCGACCTCGCGAACCGCTTCCAAACTTGCGAGGTGAAGACGAGACGGAGATTAGATATCTCGTCGACCTCATCGAAAGTAAGTACCGCAAGCCCCCCCAATTCCATCTCTTCCACATACTCACCACCCACCTCCAGCACAATCATGGATCCTCTCCCCCCTCAAACCCCCCTCCTGCATCCTCGGCCGCCACCCCCCGCCCAAAGCCTCCGCAAACTCTACCTCCAAACCAAAAGCCGTCGACCCCTCTCTCGCTTTCTGCGCCTCCCTCTACAGCATCGAACAAGGCGGGGTCAGAAGCCTCGAACTGGGACCTGAAATGGGTGGGAGCAGGAAAGAAGCGCTGGAACATCTGTTGGGGGTTGTGGAGATGGAGATTGGAAGGATGATGCTGAATGATGATAACTATCAGAAGAAGAAGGCGGCGAGGGATGGGGGTGGGAGTGTTGGGAGCGGGAGTGTGGGGAGGGGTGAGAGGGGGTGAGCACCTCATACAAGTAAAGGCCCTTAGGAGGTCTATGGCCTACATTAGGATAGAAAGATGCGATGTAGGTAGCCAAACGTGTAAGGGTGCTTTCGGAGGAAGGAGCCAGGCTTGTTGTCACGAGGGTTCTTGGAGTATGCAAGACTGCTTGACTGACTAACGCGTATGGGGCGTATTGCTGGCTTGTGTTTCTACGTTGCATGGATCAATCCTCCAGATTAGAAGAGCGGCTGCATACGCGATAAGTTCTCCCAATACCACCCTTTTCGTGGAATACAACATCTGTTACCATCATGTCCAGATCCCTCATTTCATTATCTCCCTCGAAACCCCTCCTGCTGCATGATCTGTTGTGGATCCAACAAATCATACTCCCCCTCTCAGGCTCCCCAGGACATCTTCTGCATTATCTTCCTAAAGTCCTACTCGTCTTCATTCTCCTCGGGCTCTCCCGGTCGTTGTTCTTCAGCGTAGTCTTCTTCGCTCTCTCTGTCGTCGGGTACTGGCGGGAACATTATTCTTTTTCCAGCATAATCTTCCACTGCCTCTAGCAATTTCAACAGCACCTCACTCCGCGAGCCTGCTACCTGCACCTCGATGAGATCCGCCATCAGCTTCACGGTTTTTCCGCTGGAGGTGTCAAACCGATGGTGATAACAAGAAATGACCCTCGCACGATATTCGACAATTCCTAGTTCGTTCTTCAGACAGCCTAATTTCACAGCGGCGGACGGGTGGGGGAACGGAAAGATGCCTTTAACCAGGAGGTTGATGTATGTGAGAGTATTGACGTCTGCCTGCGATACTGGGAGGATGGTCATGTCTGGAGCGAGAGGCAGTAGAAGAGAACAGGAGTGTCAGTTATCTCTTGTGCCAGAAGGCAACCTCGTGCGTCTTTTAAACCTGGTGACTGCTTTTCCGATTGCTATAATTGTCAGCAGCAACAAAATGTAAGGCTTGCTTTGCTATGACAAAAGCTTCTTGAAGACGATTGCGATGCCAGAGAGCAAGCAGCTCGACCGATACATAGCCTTGAGGGGCAACTCTCCGATAAAGCTTCGCAGACTGTAGTCATCATGAGTACCATGGCACACGAATCGAGCAACGAGAGTCGCCCCCACGTACCAACACCACCCAGCGTTCCTGCTACGCCTCTCTTGGATAGCGATGAGAATCACTTGAGCTATCTCAGCAGTACAACACCTCTCCTCACCGATCCTTGGAACCACACTAACATGATCACAGAGTTAATCACCTCCACGTATCGCCCGGCGCTAGAGCCACTGCTCCTAATGGGCAGATACGAAAGCAGAGGAGAGGGCGTTGAGAAGTTCCGCGCGTGCGTCATTGGCTGGAACACTAAATCCGTTACCCCAGAAAGAAAGTTCCTCATTGCGCCTCAGGAAGGACTGGGTCGTCAGTCTGCACTGTTGGCCGTCATCAGGTTGGTGGAGAGTGCAGCGCATAAGAGAATGGCGGATCTGGAGGCCAAGGAGGCGTGTGACCTCTGAAGTAGCTGGAAATCCATGCCAGAGTCTGTATGATCAGGATAAGATTGATGGCGGCTTTCATAGCTTAGCTTTCCCGTCCAGCAACGGTATACCGACAGCCTCTTCCAGCTCTTTCACAGCATCCTTCGTCTTGCCCAGATTCACCTTGATTGTCCTTAGTCCCGTCTTCTTCGCAAACTTCAGATTTATGCCGATGTCGTCCAAGAAGAGAGTGTCACCTTCCGTGACGCTTCCCATGCCCTTCTTCCTCGCGATCCTATCCATCTCCCGTACCGCCAGCTTGTATGCCTCTGGATCCGGTTTCCTGACACCAACCGCCGCCGAGCCGAGGAAGATGTCAAAGCACGTCGTGATATCTGTGGAGTCGTTCGCGTAAGGGTTCGGCGCCGGTGCGTGGATGAGCTCTTTGGTGAAGAGCTTGCCTTCGTCGTCGAGAATGCCCGTGGGAAAGGTAACGTTGTTGCTGAACGCGCCCAGGACAAACTTTCCGCTTTCTCCCAGCTTACGCAGCGCAGGATACATGTACGGGTCTGGTGCTCGGCTGATCTTCATCATACGCCAGAATAGCTTTTTCGCGTCGATGTCCGGTACCTGCGGCTTCCCACCCTCGATTGCTTGTCCACCACCGACGCTCTCTTGCTGCGCAAGCTTCTGGAGATATTGTGACCATACCTCCGGCCGCATAAGTTGCTTCTTAAAAGCCGCGAACCAATCGTCATTGAGTTCAACTTCGCCGCGTTCGATGAGCTGCCAGGCGCCGGTGTCGTGAGGGCCTTTCTGGATCGCGAAGTTTATGTAGCCATTCGGAATCTTATTCTCGATTTCGTAATCGAGGATGGCTTGGAAAGGGCTTATGACCTGCAATGAGACACGTTAGCTAACGTGGTCCTGTCGCGCATAGTGATGGATGGCTGGGCGGTGTCAAGAAGGCACGTACGACAACTCCGCCGATGTCGAACAAAATGGCTTTCGGTGGCTTCGAGGAGGTCATGATGTATAGATGTTGATAGAGATGGCAAGCATCGCTATGAGGCTATCATGGTGGTTTGTAGCGCGTCATCATGGTCGGCAGTCGAGGAGTCGTGAAGCCTCAAGGAACCTCGGCAATGGATAAGCTCTATCGGTCAACGGCGCTAGCCCCCGCAAACACTTCAACCTCACAGGCATGCATCGCTCATCAATGAGGTCAACTTTCACTAATCTTGCTATTTCTAATGATTCAGGGTATCCTAGACTGATTTCTTTGTCTTCGGCGCGTAGGCGGAACTTGGGCTTGGGATGAAGGCTCTTTGGGTGGAAGCTTCACGACAATCTTGTCGCTCATCCCCATCCTCGCATCCTGAAACTCGGAGGTCGATCCGGTCCTCGTCCAAAAAACATCATGCTCGACCTCCATACTCATTCTGGACACTAACGGATGTGGTATTGCACTCACCTGTCGCGTGTCATTTCGCGGGAGCCGGACCCTGGGATATTTCCGATCCGTTAGGCCCGGTCCACTGTGCAGCCTGGAACGAGAAAAGTCGCCAATAGACTCACAATGCTGAACATCGCTCCTAATTTTTCCCGTCTTCTTGAAACCTTTTATGTCTTCTATCCGGTTTTGGCGCTGTATGCGCTCGTAGTGTTGATAGCGGAGGCGTTCTAGTTCAATCCGGGCTTGTGTTGTTTCGTATAGGTAATGCTGTTCGTCACCTACAGCGAGGATATGGATAAGCATGTGCTCGAGGTCAGAAGACGGTATCAAGCCTCTAGCATTGAAGTAGCCAATGTTCACGACCAGCTGGTCCATAATCTTATGCCTACCGATGAGTGCAGGGACCAAAGCCTCGACATCAGCGAGGGTCATCGGATGGCGTGAGATGTGTTGTAGGAGAGGACGCTGGCCCTTGACAGGCAAGTTCCTGACCATTTGCTCCACACGAGTTGGGAGTGGGGGTAGCGTGTATTCTTTGACGCCACCTCTCAACCCCACCGCATCCCCTGCGCCTTGGTGGGATGTATCATCTAAGTTATATGTGTCAGGAGCTGGGGAAGGGGCAATGGGAGACACTGGAAATACTAGATCAGTCCGACTTTGCGACCCGCCACAGCCGCTCAGGCTCAGAGATGCCACTCGGGTCTCGAGCGTTGACACGAGCATGAGATTGGTTGAGCAGAGGTGAGAAGGGATGGTGCAGCTAGAGCGCTGATCTTGATAAACCTTTAAGTAGTGAGGTGTTCCTATGTCCCATACTGAGGGACTCCGCCTAGGCATATGTGGAACGGAGTGAACAGTGTTTCGCGCGGTGTGTTGGCATATTGCAGCATACCCAGCGGGAAGTGAATCTGTTCTGCGTACCTTGTGAGTCTATCAGTACAATCCTATGATAGAAGAAGTCACAACGTGTTGCGCAATAGAGCCCTCTTCACGCTCCCGTAACGCACGATGTGAGACTGTAACGGAGTAAGTAAACAATGTCGCGTAGAAAGGGGATGTGTTGAAATCAGTGAACAAGATATGCGAGGTAAAGGCTAGAAAGGCATTATGCATACTGTACGTGTATCGCTAGATGGCTGGAAGCCCGCAAAGTGAATCGTATGCATGTTTTGCCGAACGTCTTCAAAAGCAAACACGACTCACTGTAGTCGCATATATAAACCTTGCTTGGGGAAGGCTATGGCGTGAGACGCGATGGCAAAAGTCCTGCTCACACAACTGCTGGAAGCTTTATGGTTCTCAAAACAAAACTGAGCAGTTGCGTACCGAAGTTCTGTTGCTTCAGGACTAATACCCGCATATGGCGGACGAGTACCATGACGTATTGATCTGGCCTGCGGGTAACATTGTGCTTCACTCGTTGCTACTCCGAGAACTAGTCTCATGCGTTCCAGGTCAGCTCGTAGCCGAAGACAGTCCGGCGAAGAAGTTCATCCTAAGTTCGGTCAGTGATGTCTACAAGTATAGCGATCCGCAAGACTCACACCAGGATCTTCCTCGAACATGACCTTATCCATGACCTTCTCGAACGTCTTAGCGACGGTAAAGCCCGCTTCCTTGGCCACATCGAAGAAAGCCAAGTCCTTCTCGTACAACCACGGGCGGTATGGCGTAAAGAAGACGTAGGCTCGGGAGTTCGGCGATTTCTTGAGGGTCAGCTGGACAGTCTTGATGAGTTTGGCATGTTCCGAGTGGTTGAAAAGAAGGTCGGCCAAAATGAGGACATCAAAACCCGAACCATCAGCCAGGTATTTCGTCAAGTTACTGGTAGGCGCACCCCAGAGATACCCCTGTACACACATTAGTGATGTTTGCCAAGGTTGAGCACAGTCACAAACCTCCGCCACAATCTTGGGTGGCTTAGGCAGTAGTTCGCAATGGTCGACATTGTATTGCAGGTTTTCGACCAACTCAGCATCGGGATAGTCCGTGACGACCGTTTGAGCGGCACCGTTGAGAGCACAGACAAGGCTTGGAAGACCTGCTCCGGCGCCAAGCTCGAGAACCGTCCGGTTTTCTACCAGCTCTTTTGCGTTCTCCTCCAGATATTCAGATATAGTGCGTCCTGCATTCCATAGAAAGTGCCCCTGAATACGTCAGTGAACGTGCCAGGCGCATCTCAAGTACGTCAGAAGTCAGTGAGTGTATTGAAGCACTTCCAAAATTCTACGGGCCTTCTGGAAGTCTTCTAGAAGGACGGAAGCCAATAGTGGCTGCATTGACAAGTTCCATACACTGCTTCGGCATGTCGGTGATCAAGTGCATGACTTACCCACAAAGGGTTGTGACCAACCAAACGAACAGTGAGCTCTTTGCCGGAAAGCAGCTGATGAGACGCGAATGTGGCCTGCTTTTCTGGTTCATAGAAGTCGGTAGGCTCTTGGAACAGGTTCAAGCCCTCCTCGTCGGCTTCTGAGGACATGATGAAAGGAAAGTTGTGACGAAACAATGGTCTTGGCGACGATTGTATTTTGGGTGTTCGAAGAGCGGAGCCACAAGTGGCACGTGCCTAGATCACCAGCCACCACCATTCCTATCTCAGCTGCGTTCCAGACAGACGCAATCTTCGAAACAGCGGATCGCCGTCATCAACGGGGTCTGAAGGCTGACCAGGCAGGATGCGCTGCAAACGGCCGCAGGGTCTGCCGCTCGCTCGTTGGCTGTGGCAGCGAGCGTTGCACCAGCCCGATAGCGTGGGACGTGATCCAGGTGGCTTCGAGCGACGCCTCATGTATACCACGGCCTACCAATCGCGCCCACACCGATTGAATTATCGCGGTACTCATCTGAGCGCGCCAGGGTCCGCTCGGCGCCAGATTCCCCACGCTCCAGTGATATACCCGGCGGCCGCAGCATCGTTTCCACAGTTCTTCTGACCATGATCTGAGCAGGCACAGGTGCTGCTCTCCGTAGGTCACGTTTCCATAACTCTCGTCTTGCACGTACTTTATCCCAACACTTCCTCTACCTACTTTACCGCTGAGACATCGCCTGGCATCTATTTCTCCATCATCGCACCTTCTGCTTGTGCCGCCCTGAAGCGACTAAGACCGCTTAGTAAGAAACTTGCTCAACGCTAAGGCACTAAGCCTAATCCAACCCTCCGCCAAACGTCGCATCCATTCAATTCACGACAAACCTTCGAGCGCCGACCAGCAGATCCCACGCCTTGACAACTGGAGACCCGAGTCATTCATCCGTCTAGTGGGGAGAGGTGACGGCGGTGTTCTTTCTGCGGTTTTGAACTGGTATCTCACGTCCCCACCAACGCTGGGCCCTGTCAAGGCAATATTTCTCCAGACCGCATCCTGGGAGGAATCCAGTACAACCGGCGCCCTGATTCCGCCGGCTCTCAACTGAGGACCCTGCCGCTGTTGCCGTGTGCATTTCCGACGTGCGCCCGCCTGCATACGATCCACCATTCATCCGTTCCGCACTCAAGATCGCTACTGCATCAACCAACGCCTGTGCTTATACAGTATTATCACCGACACTGTGGGAAGCCGGTGGCAGCGCTCAGGGTTATCAACGCTCCAGGCGCTCGGAGCTGGACCCTTCACAGATCACTTAGCCAAGCCCAGTACCGAGTCTACCTTCTCTTTCGGATAGTTACATCGCACCACATTGAAGCCTGTCGGCCACTTTCCTATCCAACGAGAGTCGTACGTTTAGCCTAGACTCTTGCCACTGCACTGTCTTCCGTGCCGTACGCCACCTCACCCCTCCGCAAGACTTTCACGTGCGCGGTGTACAGTAAGCTTGGACAAAAGCTGTTTCCATCAGCAGTCTTACTTCGTCCCCGATACACGGCGCATTTTGTGGTAACCTGCCGCGGATTGAGCAAGTTATTTCGACCTCATATCAGCCCCGCATCATGTGGGCCGAAGTCAATGGAGAGCGCAAGAAGGTCGCCTGGTAGGTACTCCCGCTTATTCGTCTTGCTCCTCATTCTGCATTGTCCTACCCTCTTGTCTTCGCTATTTGTTACGCACATACAGCAGGTACCCGAGAAATTCTTTAGCGACTGCGGCTTGCATCGCATTGCGCAGGCTGCTCATTCGCTGTGCACTTTAACTGACTTTCAACAGCGGTCCGTGCATCCGCGGCCATCGCTCGTCGAAATGCGACCACAGAGATCGGGTGCTTGTCGAGGTTCGAAAGCCGGGTCGGCCTTTGAGTAGCTGTCCACATCCGACTGGCTCATGCAGTTGCGAACGTGTCGTTATCAACTACACAATTCCCAAAGCGTCTGAATGTGCTTGCCCTTCGGAACGAGCTGCACCCACAGCCACCGTTGCAGGAAACAGTCGAATCCAAAAAGGCAGGCGTAAGTCTGCAGCTGTTACCCCGTACAACCTCGAGAAGGCCATCCAGGCTGGCTTTGACGCCAAGACTGATGCCTCTTCCATCACGTATACGCCCTCGGAGACAAGTGGCAGCAACGCAGCGTCACTTCCTTCGAGTGCAAGCTCAACCCCACGTTTACTCCCAGCGCAAAACGAGCCCGTCTCAAGTTGCTGCAAGCCAAAGCCGGTTCTGTCGCCAGTTCAAGAAGGAGGTTGTTGTGGTAGCAAAGCCAAGCCAGCACCAGCGCCAGCACAAGGAGGCTGCTGTGGCAGCAAAGCCAAAGCAAAACCAGCTCCAGAGCCGCCAGCACAGAAGAAGTCTTGCTGTTCAACGAAGCAGGAAGATGCACCCGTCAACGATCAGTCACACGCTTATCAACATATGGGACATCAATTCCAATTTCCAGCTCAAGCGGTGATCCCACAGTACCAGAACTTCCATGCGCAAATACCATCGCCTGCACCGAACCCCTTCGGTCTCGGCACTCCAATCTATAACCATGCAGCGGCAGCCTATCATCGCCAAAACTCCGTATCGATGAGCCCGTCAACGAACCCTCCCATGTCACCGTCTGTTGCAAGTCCTCACATCGGTCAACACGTCCCCGAACACAACTGCCACTGCGGAGAGTCATGTAGCTGTTTTGGATGCGCAGCACATCCTAATAACGCTACGATGATGGAATATGTTAGGATCATGGCACACTTCCAGTACAACGGCGGCTTCGGAGGGATGCCTCCACCACTCTACGACATGCCTACCTACCCTCATCAATCTGGCTACGGAGCGGAAGCCGGTCACAACCTGAACTTCGGCCCAATGCAACAAAGCTTGGCAACACCCACACCAACGCAGATGAGCTTCCAACAGAGTATGGATATGGCGACCATGCCCCAGGTACCAATGGTGTTGCCCAGGGACTGGCCACAGCAGCTGAATCCCGTGCCAAGCCAGCCGCAAGCCCAGTTCTCGACCAGCCTTGGTTACACACCGTCCATGTCAGCGCCAAGCGACACGTTGCA